AAAATACGTTATAAAATACATTATTTCTAAAACTTGAAATCCATTTTCTTTTTCTCATATCCATGCATCTTCATGTCGAGATGATCAATTTGAGGATATTTGAGCATCAAAATAATATCTTCTACTCAAATGTTTGAGGTAGGCTCTAATTTGATTGTTAAGAGCCTCGTTGTATATAAACATTTTTCCTTAAAATGTTTATATAAGGGATCTCAAGAATTCATCATAGTTGTTTGAATGTTAGAAAAATATCTAATTGATCATCTCGACTTCGAGATGTATGGATATAAAAAGAAAAACAAGACTTCGAAGTCCGCGCAATAGTGTATCGTGCAACATATTATCCGGACCATCCATTTTTTAGAGTTTAAATTTTATAATTAGAGATGAAAATAGATTCTCAAACTATCCTAAGAATTTTTTATATCGAAATTGTATTTATGGTAAAATCTAGAGATGAGCTTTAATTGGATTTTTTTGTATGCAAACCACAACATTTTTTTAATGGAATCGATATAAATCTATATTTTATCTTTTTTCAAAAAAAAATTTAAAAAAATACCTCTCTCATGTAACTTTATTTCTTCATTAACTTAATATTATTGAATTTGATTGAAAGATAAGCACATTAGCAATGGAATTACATTAAAAATCTTAATTTAACAAAAAAATTATAACACATTTCACCAATAACTTCCTTTTAAAAAGTGTACGCAATATATTCTCTAAAAAATATGATATCAAAACAATCATATAGATCAAAATACTTGGTAGAGTTAGAATAAAAGTAATTCAATGAAATATCTTTTTTTTTCTTTAAATGTAGAGCATCCTTATAATGAGCAAGAGAGATCTTCAATGATCCTGAAGATTCATGTAGATAGGAATTTTGTGTGAGATTTGAAATTACTTAAATATTTTGTTGATTTTTTTATGCATAGAAAAGTTTTATTGCATATTTTTATTTTTCCATTTCATTGGTGTATACAACGTGGATGGATCACTATTTTTACATATTTGAGTTTTTGTTTTTAGTTTTAATTAAATGCAATCCTATAAATAGGGTATTTCTTGGTTTTTTCTTTGAACATTAATCTACATGTTGGTTTACAGTTCTTGTTATTTACCAATATAGTTTTTATATTTAATATTATTGTTGTTATTTTATTTTATGCTCCTAATAAATATATAGTATGATTTGTGTTATGAAAATAGAATAAGTATTGTCACTAGATTTATCAAAAGGATAGACAATAAATTGTCAATTATTACTCTAATGACACTAGGTAAGACAATAAAATTATTGTTCAATGACTTTAATATATCTATAAAAAAAACTGCAAATCATTACTCTATATAATGTGATCTTTACATATCCGACTTTTTCACTCTTTTTTTTAAACCAAAATCCGAAATATTCATGATTCTATACCTTACTTTATTTTTTAGCGATCCGTATTTTTTGCCCGATTGTATTCTTCGACTTTTAATAAAACAGATTTATTATTAATGTTTTGAGTCGCCGATATATTATTATTTCTCGACTTGCTAACTATGGTT